CTCAAACAGACATCTTTTAAGGTGTCCACATGAAGTGCTGTCTGATGTCTCACTGGAAGCCTGTGTAAAACGAAGCAGTTGAACCTCTGTTCCCTGGGCTGAAGATTAGCACCCAGATCACAGAAATGTCTAGGTTTGATGTTTCAAGTATTTTTAATAAACTCTTGAACTGCATAGTGAAGTGTAAATATTAAATAAAAGCACATAGTTTTGATTTGCATAGTTTAAATTGATTTTGATAGAGTTTGTTTTAATCGCTATTTCTTTAACTAAAGTGCCTGGCTCATTTTTAAATGTGATTTTTTTTTTCCCTCATGTTATTTTTGCTGATGAATCCTCTGATTGCAGTTTGCTAAGAGTTGATGCATAAGCATTTCAAATGTAATTTTAATAAGAGTCTCAAAGTTTGCAATTTTCCCTGCTACTGTAACAAAAGCCAAGATACATGGAAGTTTTCTCTTCTTTATTTTTAAAGCTAAATTAAACCATTGAAAATAGTTTTATTTATATCTGTTGCTTTCCCTAAAAGATTAGAGGAAAATATGATGTTAATTCCAAAGCAGTTAAAGAAAAGCTAGCCCATCCCCCTGAGCTGCTCATATTATTATTGGGCCAAATCTGGGTGTCTTGCCTGAGAACAATATATGTCTAAACTAACAGCTTAAGAATTTGGCCCATTATACCTCTTCCTAAGCCACGCTGTGATTCATTATAATTTTATATCATTGTCCATTTTGATGCCAATTGGGAGGCTACAGATTTTTACCCTCTTAAATAATCTTGTTACTGTGTGAGCCACAAATATTACTTTGTTTCAAATATGTGCTGAAAGGCAAAAATAATGTTTGTAAATCTCCCATGTCCAGAGGTCCCTCAGGGTCCTCTTTAGGTAGAAGGAATGAGCAGAAAAAATAGAGAAGAAAAAAATCAAATTGGCTGATACCTGACTAAGTGTTAGGATCTGCTGTTCAAACCCTGCACAAGTTTGGGAGGTGGCTTTCTAGCAAAGGTCAGATACAAAAGAAATTACTGATTGGTATCTGTATGTTATCTGTTATTCCACAGAACAGGGAGTGGGCAGGAAAAGCGTTAAGAAAGTAACTGCACCAGATTTTCTAAATTTATCTTACGTGTGCTTTTCAGTCACTGTAACTCAGTAAACCTTTGATTAAAAAGCTTGTTTGTCTCTCTGGATGTCTGTGTTGAAGAGATTCTTTTGTGGTTTTCTGTCACCATTAGCTTGGTTTTGATTTGAAATTTCTTATAAAATTAGTTAGTCCTCTGCTAACTTTTGCAAATATCCTGTGATCTTTCTCCATTTTGTCAACATCCTTCTGCATTTGAACACCTCAGAACATAAGATTTGAGTAGTTTCTCACAAGCAGCTGATGTGGTGCAGCCGTTGTTGTTGTTGTTGTTGTCTTAAGGATCTTTTTGAAATATCCAAGGATTTCATTAATCTTCCCAGTCATAGCTTCATGAGAAGAGTTCACAGTTAGCAGAAAGCCTACTATGACATCAAGACTTTCTTAATTCCATCTTTACAGGGTAGTCTCCCAAGAAAGAAAGAAAGTTTGTTCCCATATGTATGATTTGCAAAATTGGTATTGCAGCAGAGGTGGTTTGTTTGCATACAGGCAGTCTGTGGTGGTCTGATTGGTGAGGTATTCTCTGTGTTATTTGCCACTCCATCAGCCTTCACAATCTGCAGGTTTCCTCTGTAACGATTTTAGATTTCAGATCACTAGTTACTTTTCTCCCTACTTTTTCCTCTTATTTTTTCTGCCTGCACATTTTATTAGTAATTATTTTCCTCCTGGTCATTGTTCAATAATGTCATGCTTAAGAAATAAACCCTGCTGGAATACATTAGAAACATATCTTCCCAATGACAATTTCCTGTTTATAACTGCATCTGGAGACTAATGTAACTAACTTAACTAATACTTTCTTTGTGTTGCTTCATTTCCTAAATATAATGGCATGCAAAATTCAGTCAAATGCTTTGTCTTTTTTGACAAGCTGCATTTTTTGTAAAATCCATATTGATAATCAGTTTCATCTCACTTGAATTCTCTAGTTCTTGGAACTTGATTTATGGCTTTTGAGAGTGGAGACATGGTAAGGTCACTTCGTTTACCCTTTTTTTAGTATTGGCACAGAATTATCTTCTGGAACTTCCTCAGTGTTGTTAGACTTCTTGACTACTTGGAAGAAAGCATTGGCCAGCTGTTCTAAAACTTGTACAAGTTATTCAGGTCTACTTATTTTAAAAAGTTTTCATGTTGTAGCTGTTGTTTGGGACTGAGTTGATTACAGTTGGAAAACTAAGCATTTCATCATCATTCTCAACATACACTATGGCTTTAACTCAGTAAAATCAAATATCATTTATGCCTCCTCTTCATTACAGCACAGAAATACTTGTGCGTGTCTTATTTATAAAAGCACATTTCCAAAAAGCCAAGGTTCACTCAAGTTCAAGGCTGTTCCAAATCGAGGTGTACCCCAGGATTATCTATTGCATAGGTATGTTTCTGTGCACTGTAAAGTACATTGGAAATTGAGATGGCCAAACTGTCCAGGTGATATGTGGGGTTTGTCATCATTCCATTTAACGCGTAGCAAAGTGAGGCAAGCGCAGAGCCCTGTTGTACTCTGAAAAGGGACCACATATGTCCTCAAAGTTTTATCCAATAAAAGGACATAATCAAATTACAAATCAGAAAGGAAAGCTGGCAGAGTGGGGGTATTGAGTAAATATATGAAAATGATCTGAAAGACAATTTTTTATATTCATCTTGGAAAAAAAATCTGTGCTAATCAAACATTGATTGGTCTATCATTTTCCTATTTTTTTAAAGCAGAGACTTAAGAATCAAACAGGTTAAATTGATAGTATAAAATTTAAGTCAGATTGGGGAGGGGTGGTGGTAATTATTCTTTATTAAAGAAAAATTTTTTTTTCCTGTAGCAAATTTGAACTGTCCTAGAAAGTCAAGAAATGTTGTTGGCCAAAATGCCTGTAAACCAGTGATTAGGTTTTTTTTTTTTTTTTTTCCTATGATTTTTTTTTGAATAAAAAGATGTGTATAAGATGACCCACCTTAATTAAATAAAGGGATGGGGATAGTCATTAAACTGTATTAAAAGTATACCTTAAATATGTGAGAAATGGGTTTGAAGATAGGAGGACATGAAAAGGATATGTATATTGCAAGAGCTATATACATGATACTGAAGAGAGGCAGAAATAGAAGTTCTGTTAGATTTGCTTAACTTCTGACTAGTTGGGTTTCACTAGTACATCATCATGTACAAACCTTCATAAAGTGTTTGGCCAATGACTGTAGCAATCCTAGCTGTTGAACTGTAAAATGGATGTCTAGATTTAAGAGTTGGTTTTGAGAATGGCATAGAGTGGTTTAGATGGGGGGTTTGGTTTTGTTTGGTTTTTTAACTTGTGATGTGTGTGATACTTACCAGCTAATGTGATACATTAATCAGTAATAAGCTGGATAGGTCATGTTACTCTATGAAGTTAATAGGCTTAATCATAAATTAATGTTTAGTTACTAAAGTTTTCAATAAATGTGCTTTCAAAATGAGGACTAAAATTGGAAGGAAGGGAAAAACAGGTTAATTATATGCTTTTAGGGTGGTTCTTAAGACTAGTTAATAATTTGCCATGAATGGAGCTGCCTACAAGCAAAATGAAATAAAATAGATGGAGACAGTCATACTGTGTAAAGCAGTTGAGTTGATGGAAGGATTTCCCAAGTACTAGTTGGCATAGGAATAGGGACAGAGCAAAAACCCAAATCCTCAACTATCACTTAAATAAATAATTAATTAAAATCAGTGGTTTAGGTGTTTGTGGGGGAGGTATCAGTTGGCTACAGCCAAGTAGTCACAAGGTAATTCATGCTTCTGTCTTCTGGATCTAACCCTTCTTAAGACAGGTTAGCACCCTTCTTGACATCCTAGACTCTTTATGCAACTAAAAGTCATAGTTTATTTGTACTGATGGTGAATTATGCACTCATTTATACTTGAGTGGGAGCGAAGTTCGAGGACAATGTGTTCAAATGTGTAGCTGTGAAGCAGAGACTCCTAACTCCACTGGCCTTCAGTGAGTCATCATCCTTACTTATGCATTTGAAAACACCATTCCAGGCTGTCAAGGACTTGAGAGGAAAAGGGCTGTTAAGAGAATAAAATATAGAGCAATTCTGTATCTTTGCTAAGAAAGTTACCCAAATTCATGACACCTCTTAACTGCCATGCAGTAGCAAATTTTAGATACTCTACTTATTTTACATGCAGTGTTCATGAGACAAAGACAAGTCAGATACAGCAGCTAGAAAAGAAGATATGAAAGGATGGAAAATGTACTGAATAGGACACATTACCTGACCCAGTCATATAAAATGTTGTCTAGCCATCATCTAGTGAACTGTTAGCAAATAAATTCTGAGAATGTGATAGAAGAGATCAAGTATTTCTCAGGTGTTGACAGCTGTAGTGCTTTCACTGTGCCTGTTTAAAAGAACTGATTTCCTCAGAGGAACATAGGGGAAATACCTGCAGTGCTTGTGTACAGAAGTGAGTGTAGAAATAGTGAGATGTGGAAAACATAATGATGTTCACTGCTCAACAACCAGCCAGTTGGCAAACTGGCTGAAAGTGTTCACATTTCTACTGTTCTCCTAGAAATCTCATGCAAAAACTTAAATTAAGTGCATAAACAGCAGATAAAAGTTTCAAGAGAACCAGCTAAGTAAGTTTAAAATATTTTTTCTATAGTGTGCAGTCAGAAGTTCTGTTCTGTGCCTAGCTGTGACTTTCGGAATGGTTGGTGTTGTTTATAAGAGCTTTTTGAAGAAAGAAGGAAACAACTTCATGTGGAAGGAGTTGGGAGGAAATGAGAAGTAATTAAAAAATACCCAAAAAGAAAACTTACTATTAATGTGATTGCTGTTGTGGTTTTCATCTTATAGTTTGCAAGACATATCAAGAAATCTGAAGGCCAGAAGACACCCAAAGTTGAATTACAAATCTCAATCTATGGTGTAAAAATTCTAGATCCAAAAACAAAGGTAAGAGACTTATATGTTTATGGTGCTAAACTAGTAATTAAATATTATTTTAACTGTTTAATGTTTTTTATTGTTTTATATTTCTAAAAAGTATTATAATGAAAGCCATTCTGTTGATGGAAAATTCTTCTAAAATACCATTTCTTGTTACAACACATAGATGACATCTGTCCAGGAAGGTACATGATACTCCAAGATACAGACTGTAGCTAATGTGGGATTTAATTTTTTAATCCTTTCACACCAGAACTTTTAAACTCTGAGGAAGATGAAAGCACTGTGGTAACTAAATGTTAACACCACATATGATAAATGCCTTTCCAAGTGGTCACCATTGTGTAGATGCCCACATGTAGGTGGTTTGCAGGTGAATGAGGAGACAATTTGTTTGCAGTGACTCAGTCTTCATGCTGCTGCTTTGGAATTGCCCCTCCCTTTCCTTAACCTGTTCATTTTTTTTTCCTCTTGTGGTTTTAATTTTTTTTTATTGTATCGCCCATCCCTAGAAAGCTTATGTTTCTCAGTTGTGTTACCCATTTCTCTGTAACTTTCATGTAGCAGACTATAAGCACTATTGTAGGCTTTTCGTCTGGCACAGCATGACAGTTCCTGCCTTTTCAGCAGTTAAGTCCAGTGAGTCACCCGTGGATGGGTTTTCTGTTCCTTTGTTTGCTCTGGTATTTTGGAAGGGGTTACATAGTAAGCAAAACATTCTTCTCACAGACTTCAAAGAGGAATAATGAGATAAATATAATCAAGCTAAAAAGTATTCATTCAATAGTCAGCAATTCTTAACATCTGAGTGCTCTTAAATCTTTTATGCATATGTTGGATTTGAATGAACTGTTTGTTACTGCTTCTTAATTCTGGAGTAATTCAGACAGTGATAGTGCCCTTTGAGAAAAGGTAGCTGTAGTTCAAGGCTATATCTACTTGCAACCCATTTTTGCTTCGGACTCTCGGTATAACCACAATTCGACAGCTCATAAGCAGAGGGGGCAAGAAATATCCGTGTCAACTTTAATTGCAGTTTTTGCATCTTCCTTACATCGTAAGGCGGAAAGGAGTACTAAGCCCCGTATCCTGGCAAAAACTGTTTTAAAATAACAGTTTTAAATGCCAAAATATGTTAGTCTTCCTAACTCTTCCTGCAGAGATTAACAGAAAGCTGTGGGACGGAAGTTCCTGGGGGAATAGGAACATTCTAATCTCTTAATAATGTTATTACAACTCAAATTGTAATCAACCATTAGTAGTCTTTTTATCTCCCCCACTTTGTTTCTTAAAGCTACATGTAAATGTAAATTCGAAACAAGTTTTCCTTCTTACTGCACAATTTATAGATGCTTTAGCAAACAGCTTAAATGCTGTGTTGTCATCACTGATTACAATATTTTTTTTCTGTACGTTTTTGAAGCAAATCAATATTCTTACAGAGGAATAGTGGTTTATATTCATGTGATGACTATTAATTGTGGTAGGAACAGGAGGCCTGCTCATGTATCAGAATTTGATTCTATACATGGCACTCAATAAAGGAGGATTATAGGAAAGTGGTTCTGTCCTTAAATGATATAAAGTAGTTCTATGGATCTATAAACCTACAAGAGCCAGAACAAGCATGTGTTGTTATATGTAACTGTTAAAGAGCTACAACAGAAAGAGATTAAATGTGAGAGAGATATGGGGACATGGGAGAAATAGGATACACAGAACAACAGCTGTAAAGACCAAGAAAAGGAACCCAGTGGGGCAACGGGAAAAGACTGCCCATATGGTGCATTTTTTTGATAAAGGGTTTTGTGCAGAGAGGGCATGCCCTTGTTTATGAGCCTATAGCAGTCTGGGAACCCTGGTGCTGCACAGAAACTTTGTTTTTTTAATAGATAATAGTTCAGCACAAAACTGCATGTTTTCCTTTAAAGTAAATACTGCTTTCCCATGTAATAAGCCAAATAAAATAAAATACCAAGAGGAGACTTGTTGAAGAAAAACAACAACAAAAAAAAAAATAGTTGAGATAGTTTATTTCAGTCTTGTCAAGCTCTCAGCTGAAGGGCATTGCCACTGCAACTTTTTGAATAGCTGGAACGTGCTTTTTAATGGAAAGTGAAATACGGTATTGAAAATATGTGAATAATAATATTTAAAAGATGTTTATGTTGCACCTTAAGTAAGCAATTGTTTAGATGTCTAATTTATTTCTCTGTGCTCATGTATTTGGATAACAAAGTCATTTTATTTCTGTTTTCTATATCTAAGATAGAAAGATAAGAACTTATTTCAGTAAAACCATTTTAACAAATGCTGGGGGATGATGAAATCTGAACATGGTGTACACCTGGAAAAAGAACAGAGTATTTTACATAATCCCTAAATAAACTGCACAGGGAGGCAAAGCAACAGTAAAACCAATTTTCTAGAACTGAAATTACTGTCCAAATAAACACTCCCAGATAAATGCTGTCCAAATAAAAACTTCCTGCTTACATTCTGTAAAAATGGGAACATTTGTTAGGAGATGTGTTTGCTAACTTCTGTTATACTTACATAAGTCAAATTTTGGGTGCTGTCATGTACAATGAGAGACATTAAAAAATGTTACTGCAACTTGCCTGCTCTTATGTACATGAGGAAATCCAGAGATTTACTTTGTGCATCTTTGTCCTAAGCAAGTATAGTAATTTCTTGAAGATAATCTTTCTTTTTATTTGCAGGAAGTCCAGCACAACTGTCAACTTCATAGGATATCATTTTGTGCTGATGATAAAACTGACAAGAGAATATTTACTTTCATATGCAAAGACTCAGAATCAAATAAGCATCTGTGCTATGTATTTGACAGTGAAAAGTGTGTAAGTATGCAAGACGCTTTAAAAGAATTTGGGTGACTGTTACGGACTTTGATTGGTCTGCTTTGAAATAAAACAGGAATGGTTAATAAAGGCAGGTAGCCTGCCTTTTGATTGGGGTCACTTTGATATAATCTTTCATGTGTCTTATAACTTAGATGTGTTAATTTAAAGGAGAGCCTTTCTCTTCATTCATCTAAGGTGGTTTTCTGGGACAATTCTTCTTACTACCTGGCTCAATATCCTAAGCCAGATATCTGCAATACTTACAGAGAGCAGACTGCATCCCACCAAGATTGAAATGTTTGCACAGCTGTTTTGGAGAGATTGCTGCAACACTGTGGCTGAGATACCCTCATAGGCTCTTCTGCTGATGTGTCTGCCTCAGCTTCTCTGCCTCAGACTTTTTTACAATTTTTGGGGTTTTTTTCAATAGCAAGGTTCCCTCTTCTCTGCTCCCCCACCCCCATCTCTCAAGTTTGTTAATGCCATGATGCACTACCAGAGAATTCATTGCACTAACTACTGACATTCTCTCGTGTCTGAGATAGAACAGGGCAACTGTTCAAAAATGTGCAATAGCATAAATACTTTAGGACAGGAAATGAAGAAAATGGTGTCTAGCTGAAAGAGGGTCATGTGTTTACCCTGGCAGAAGGTAATTAACAAATAAAAACACTGGAATCAACACCAAACATGGATGATTAGGGTTTTTTATAAAAAAACCCAAAAGATAGGACTGCATACTTCTAGTGTCCCTTACACTTTTCTTTTACTAACATAAACAGTTACTCTCTAAAGTAGTCCCGGTTCAGCTTTTTTGGTCTAACTCAGTCTAATTTGGTTAAAATAATTTCTTGAGGTTTTATTTTTTTTTTTTTTATAAAGGTGGCCATATGGTTTTTTTCACAGTAAAAAGACAGAGGGGTTAATTCTCCATTCCTGTAGAACTCAGGTCTTCATACGCCTCTATTGAATGACTTCACTGTTGCACTGATGGATAAAAGGCTGGGAGCACCACATTCTGTACCATTTTTGTGCATCCAGCCCTTCATTTTCTTACAGGTAGCGAAGCAAAAATGTTCTTGGCATTGCGCAGAATACTCTGCTTTCATGAGAAACAACCAATTTCAGGTTGTCATTTCAATAAAGACGACAAAATTCTAGTTTAGCTTTAGCCAGATTAATGGTTTTTCCGATTTTTTGTTGTTGTTGTTGTTCCTCTGCCAAATTGTTTTTTTTTAAAAAAAAGTTACTACTTACTGTGTTTACTTTCTCTACTAAAGTTCTAAGGCAAATGCCATATCTGTATGTTGACCTTTTATTGGTACCTCTTGTAAGTCTGCGTTTTTTTCTGAAACCCTGGTGTGCTCAATCAACTTCTTGTACACTTATTTTTACCTCTGTTATTTTGCAAGTAGGTTGTCTGTAAGGATTGGATATACACACCATAACATATGATATGAATCAGCATAGAACTACTAAATTGTTATATTTTGCATGTACAGATGCAAATTTTGTTTGGTTGGATTTTTTTAATCAAATACTTGCGCAGGTAAATACATTTATCTACACTATGCTGATTGAGATTTTATAGGACTTTTAAAAATAAGTGTTGAAAATAAATTTAAAAGCAATAGAGGTCAAAACATCCATTATCATGAAAACAGTAACCCAAATTAAAACAATTTATTTAATGATAGAAAAGCCTGTATTTGCTTCAGAAATAATCAGAAAAAGACATACTGCAGCATGCTATCTGTATTTACAGAAATTAGAGGCATAATTTATACTAAAAATTAGCTAATTGTGTTCTGCCTGTTCAGTCTCCCTTCTTTATCTGAAGTTGTATTTTTAAGTTGTATTCATAGTGTTTTCTGTCAGAGTATTTTGCTGGAGTGTTTGCCATGCTCCTTTGTAGTGTTGACTTCCCGATGGATGAAGCAAATCCTTTGAACATGATACATGGTGTAAAGTATTTTGTGATCATGTGAAATGAAAATAATTATATGAAATATTCTTAATATACTAATCTCAGTCTTATGTTTTATGTAAAGGCAGAAGAGATAACTTTAACAATTGGTCAAGCATTTGACTTAGCTTACAGGAAATTTCTGGAATCCGGAGGAAAAGATGTTGAAACAAGGAAACAAATTGCAGGTTTACAGAAAAGAGTAAGTTCTGAAGTATATTTTTTAAAGAGATAGAAGAATGTGCTACTGTATTTGTGTTATGTGATTTCTATAACAGCATAATTTCCAGCATTTTTCTTAGATTGCTAAAAATTGCAACAGATAGTAAAAAAAAAAAAACAGGTGAAAAAAGACCTGATAACTGTGAAACAGTGTTTTATTTTTTGCCGTCTTGGAAGGTCATTAAAGAGAAAAGCAAGGTTGAAATATGGAAGATACAGAAATTTAAGTTATTTTTTGTAATCAGGTAACTAGTTAAAAATTGCTTCTAAATCACCATATCTCAGATGAAACTTATTCTCAGTGGATGCTATTGTTGAAATGAATGAATAACCCAATAGCTGTTGTAATAACCACTTGCTTTGTAGATTCAAGAATTAGAAACTGAAAACACAGAACTGAAAAATAAAGTTCAAGATTTGGAAAACCAGTTAAGAATAACACAAGTACATGCATCTCCAGTAAGTACATGAATGTAACTCTTATAAATCTGAAGTTACTCTAAATTTATAATCATCTGTGTTATGATAATTACTAGCATCTATGCTGTTTCCGGTGTTTATGATTAACATAGAGTGATCATGTACCATACCTGTTGAAATGCAGTATTGAGGTAACAGTAAGATTGTGACAAGCCAGCAAAAGTACAAATTGCAGTCTCTCAAATTGTGGTTCTCTAATTGTCTAATCATACCTATTTTTTGCTGCCTAGACAGTAAATACTCCTTCTAGTAAACATCTAAGGATGAAGAACTCCGTTTGGCACTTAAATGATCTGGTCCACGAATGCTACTTTGGATTTTTCTGGGAACTTTCTGTCACAAGCATATTGTCACTTACAACTGACATTTTCTAAATGACTTCTAAAAAATTTTGTCTGTCTTTCAAAGGAGTCATTAGGTCTCAGGAACTAACATTGAGTGCATAGGTAAAAACGAGCAAGTGCGGGTTTCTCATCATTGGAAATTTCTAACGCTTTCTGCAGTTTCTATAGACGATGACGACAAAAGTATTTTTAAATGACTGACTGACACTTACATCTAGGCAGGACCTCTAAAAATGCAGGTTGCATTGCAGGCTGATCCTAATGACTCCCCTCTTCTTACAAACATATTCCATCTATACAGCATTAGGTAAATGTGAAAATAGATCAAATTTCTCAATGTACATGTAGCAAAATCTTAGAAGAAGATGGACTGCTTTTTAGCATTTTAGGCTGCCTTGTTCCTGCGCTAGCGATACACCATTTCACTTTAAATGGATGTTTAGAAGTTTGGGCAATGTAAAAGTATGTTTATAATGGTGATGACAATTTTTCAATAGTGTCTACACACTCCCTTAGATTGTTGTTCCCATGAGGAACTGTCATTTCATTTTACTGTAATCTGTTTAGAGCAGAGAGCACCATAAATTGTAAATATTGCATAACTCCCACAGTGCAAATTGTAAATTATGGATGTCTTCTCGCTTATGAAGCGTTCAGTGAAAGGTAATCAACTTTAATGCTAGATTTTTCCTTAATCTTTTCTTTTCCTTAATTAGGATGGCAGCTAGTTTGCATTTATTTATGAATATAATAACTAAATGTATCTTTGAATTCAACTAAACAGGCTCTTTAGTATCTTGTGATAGATGCATTTCTCTTTCATTTTAATTAGTGAAGAACTTGGTAATTGCATTTAGAAAAAAAATTAAAAGTATCAACAATGACCAAAATATTTCCTGTAGCACATGTAGTGCATGTGTATATTTATTTTGTCTTTGAAGACAGTGGTGTCTAATTCCTTATTAATGAGTTAAGATCTAAATTTGTAAATTTGCCAGCCATTTGTTTCCTCTCCCTAGATGGTGTTTTATTGTTCATTACTATTGGTACATGAATATGCATATTGCTTAAATGTCACTTATGCTACAACAAAATTGTATAATAATTATTGATAATTATTCATATTAGAATATTAATTGAATTTAATAAATCACTACAGCTGTTAGTTTTCAGATATAATTTTGTTTTATTTACTCCTTAATCTTTAAAAAAAACCCCAAACCCAAGCATTTCCTGTCACAAATTTCTGAGTTTCCTCATGATTAGAATTGCAGTAAGAGTCACCTAACAGCCTATTTAATATCTAAATTGATTCTGCCAGAAAATAGCCTTATATAAATGATTTGAATAAATACAGGAACAGGCTGCCCAGAGAGGTTGGAGGTATCTGTACTCTTGGAAATATTAAAAACTTCCTTGGACGTGGTCCTCAGCAGCTTCAGCTAATTGGATCCTGCTTCATGTAGGATACTTTCTGCTTGTGTGATTCTTTGATCAGTTGTGCAGCCAACAATAAAAAAGAAACATTTTTAGGAAAATGGCTTACTCAAATCTAGGAATATAACTGTATCCACCAACACCAACAATCCACCACCACACTATCAATTTTTGTACTTAACCAAGAGACATCATTCAAGTAGACCTGTTTTAAACTAGGTTGTGTACATTGTAAATCAAGGCTCTTACTTGTGCTAGCATAAGAGTAAGTTCGTATAAGTTCAACAATTAGGTTGAAAATAAATGAAGGAATGGAATAGTGAGGTTATGAAGTGACTTTTCAGTGCAGGGAACAGGAAGCATAAAATTTTTTAAGATAGTTTGAGTGCCTGGAATAGTAGTGGATATGATTTGGTGATATGTAGCTGCTCATCTACTATGTGAGCAACAAATATGTATGAAAGAAGGAAATTACGAAGAATAAATAAGGCAACTGATTGCCTGTCATATTTCAGTTAATTTTATATGCTTTTAATTCAAATCAACCATCATTTCAAGCATTACTTTGCAAAGCTTCAGCTCCTTTTAGAAAAAAGCAGAAGCAATGCAAAGAATGTTTTCCTCTATTTCTACATAATTTCTGTGATGAAAAATAACACTTTATTTTTAGAAAGTTATTAGAGATTTGATTTTTATTGCTGAATTTAAATTTAAAACTTATAAGTACTGTGTTGTTAAAAATATCTGTACTACTGCTGCTCTGTTTCTTCAAAATTGGCAAAAAAAAATAGCAGTTCTATCTTGTGATCATTTTGTCAGAGTGACATTTTCAAATCTGCTGGTAGTATTTTGTTAAACACTGAGATAAAATAGCTTACATAATGAAGCAGAATATCCAGCGTGGGGAATAACAACTCATCTGAGTCACTTCCTAAGTGCTTCTGGTTAGATGGAGGAAAACTTGCTTCCCTGCAGGTATTCTTCATGTTACGTGCTATGAACATAACACAATCATTCTCATGATTTAAAGCAGATTTATAAAACTATGAAGTTTAGGTTTTTTCACAGCTCTCATATCCATATTATTGAATTATAAAGAGGTGCCAGTGCCATGCTAGAACTTTCTGAAGTTTTTTTTTTTATATACATAATAAGTAATTTGATTTATTTATATTTAGTTAATTTGATACAGTTGCAACTCCTTATCTGTCAGTCCAATCTGCTGTTATTCTGTGTACTGAGGTCTAGGGAGGGATCGTTTAACGATTGATGGAAAGTTTAAGCCTTTGTACTTGATAGCTGGTATAATAAAAGTATGTGTGCCGTTAACTGGCATCACGGTAATTTGTAAAGAAATACTCAGTTTCACAAGCCAACTACAGATGGTTATCAAGTTGCTTCTGTTTATGTTTAAATAGTACCTTGGATTTTCTTATCTTACACTTTCCTTTTTGTATTTGGTTGTTTGCACACTGTTTGCACTTTCTCAACATTTGCCAGATGTGCTGAAATGTCTTTCCTGTCTTATAGGTTGTTGACTGTGCTCCTGCTTTAGTGATTAATGCATGGTCACAGAAACACTTGGTAATCACCAATTGATTCAGTACTTCAGAAGTCAATACTAGCAATTTGATTAAACAAGTATATACTTAAAGAAGCAGATGATGTTGCAAGGGCCTGTGATAACAGTTCACAGAATATGACAAATATGAACATTGAAATCATACTGTGCTACATCCTCTTCTCCTTCAATCCCCATCCCTGTGAAGGGGTGACCACAAGCCATACGGTCTAAGCAGGCATAATTTCAGGCTGACAGTGGGCGTGTGTTTTCCTTCCCTGTGAGGGAAGACTTAGGCTTTTAAGTACACTGTTGCACTTGTGTGAAACAGTGCTGTTACAGACACCAAGTGATGTCACTGTCGTGCTTTATTTGTTAAAATACTGATGTAGGACAGAATGTCTTTCCCAGTTGTTAGTAACTGAGAAACCATGGTATCATTTGTAGGCAGTGCTAGTCTATCATTTGTTTACTCCTGCTTCTTCCTTCTGAAGCTGGTGGATTTTGGTGTCTTTATTCTAGACACATTAGTCTTCACATTAATTTTTAATGAAATGGAGTAGGTAGAAAATACCTTCAGAAATTCGAAGTTCGATTCTTTTTGTATTATTTCACTGACCCTTGACACTGTTCATTTTTTAAATACTCAGTTGATCCTTCTTCCGTTACCCTTTTACATTTTCTTTGTAAGGATTTTGGGAAATACGAAGTTCCTCTTTAAATAGAAGATTCTGATACCAGACTGCAGGAAGTCTAAAAATTACATGCTTTTTGTTCTATTTATTTTTATTTTTCATAATTAAACCCAGAGTAAAATTAGACAAAAGAAGCCATTGTGTTAGGGAAATGTAAAGCAAACAGAAAAGAAACCCTGAAGACATGGAAAATCCTAAAAACTTTTACCCACAATATCAACATTTAACTGGGGGAATCACTGTTCACTGTTCAGTTCTTTGTATGTGACAAAGTGAAATGAAGGTCATGCTTGTCAATAAGGCCTGTAATTTGGGGGTGCACTGCTGCATAAATGTGAGTGTCAGTGTCCCTGCTAGCACTTCTTGAAAGTCAGTGCCTTGCCAGTCAATGCAGGAACACACCGTGTACAAAGTTTGGCTGAAGAGGAAATTAAATATTCATGATCTGTGGGCATTTCTTTTTAACATTAAAAAAAGAATCATCTCTTGAAAAAGCAACAACAATAGCTATTACCATTCTTAGCATTCCTCACTTGGCATCTTCACTGAAAGACTAATTCCATGTGAATTTCATGAATGTAACTCTTCATCAGTCCAATATGCACAGGTGTTTAACCTGTTGTAGGAGAGGAAGGCTATGATAAACATAACATCCTTTCGGTGGAGACATGTAAACCTGGGGCCTTCAGCTGTTTTATCAGCTTTATTTTTAACCCTGGTAGAAATACAGAGTTTGAGAAATTGTCCTTCTATTAATTTGATTAAGGTATGATCAGAAATTAAGAAAGGCTTTCTTGTGCCGGAAGGGCAACAAAGCTGCTGAAGGGTCTAGAGCACAAGTCTTATGAGGAGCGGCTGAGGGAACTGGGATTGTTTAGCCAGGAGAAAAGGAGGGTAAGGGGAGACGTTATCGCTCTCTACAACTACCTGAAAGGAGGTTGTAGCAAGGTGGGTGATGGTCTCTTCTGCCAAGTAACAAGCGATAGGACAAGAGGAAATGGCCTCAAGTTGCACCAGGTGAGGTTTAGATTGGATATTGGGAAAAATTTCTTCACCTAAAGGGTTGTCAGGCATTGGAACAGGCTGCCCAGGAAAGTGGTTGAGTCTCCCCATCCCTGGAGGTATTTAAAAGGTGTGTAGATGTGGTGCTTAGGGATGTAGTTTAGTGGCGGACTTGGCAGTGCTAGGTTTATGGTTGGACTCCGTGATCTTAAAGGTCTTTTCCAACCTAAATGATTCTATGAAAAGCAGCAGGAAAAGGTATTGGGAAAAACAGCCCTAAAAGGAATGGTGTTCTTCCATTCACTATAAGTATTGTCAAAGATGCAGTATGTAATATGTATTCTTATCATGGCAGTGTTGCAAAAACCCCCTCCATTTTTAAATGGAGCATTAAGGATACTGATTGATTAGACCTTTTTTCAATGTTCTTTAAGTAGTGACTTAGAAGCATAGGCCACCTGCACCTATTACCCTCATTAAAAAGCTTTAACACGCTCATAAGAAAACCCCAAGATAGGTGTTGGAACTGTATGCATATTTCAGAAAACAGTTTTGGAATGCGTTTAGGCATATCACTTGATTCATGTTTCCATTAAGACTGCCAAGTGGGAAAATGTCCATGTTTTTTCTTTGCCTATCTTCTGCTCTTTCAATTTTATAATATTCTGTATTCAGTTCAGTGAGCACTTCTTCATGAGGGTTTAAAATTCTATTTTTTGTGATGTTAAAAAAAAAAAATTGAAATTGCCTATGTCAGTTTTCATGTTACCAAAAAAGCACTAAATGAACCAAAGATGTAGCAGTTATTTAATGAAACTGCTAGTGCTTATCCAGTATTTTATGAATTAGTCAATTAATCATAGAATCGTTTAGGTTGGAAAAGACCTTTAAGATCATCCAGTCCAACCATTAACCTACACTACCAAGTCTACTCTAAGCCAATCAAGGGTAGACTAGACTAAACCATGTCCCGAAATGCCACATCTACCCATTTTTTGAATGCTTCCAGGGATGGTGACTGCACCACCTCTCTGGGCAGCCTGTTCCAATTCTTGACCACCCTTTCCGTAAAGAAATTTTTCCTAATTTCCAACCTAAACCTCCCCTGGCGCAGCTTGAGCCCATTTCCTCTTGTCCTATCACTAACTACTATATCCTTAGCAGTCCCAAATCTCAGGTAGCTTGTAACCAGTGGGTTTGTAACTAACTGCATCATTTCCAGTTCAAGGTCACTCACAGTTCCCTGTAACATTCACTGCAGTTATCCACTATGGCTGTTCTGTGTGTTATCAACTTGAATGTTCTAAGGAAGGAAAACATTTTCTAGTTCTCTAATACACTTATGTGATTCCTATGGGGGTATAACACAGAGATTGCAATCAATGTCTTGAGACACCTAGTGAAAACAAACAATTTTGAAAAGATTTCTTGATTAACAGAAACTCAATCATGCTACATTTTCTAGTATGATGCAGCCAAAAGTGCATCTTCAGCATCATGCAAAGTAGAATGAGTTAAAAATAAATCCTTTGACAGGCACATAATAACATCTAATCATAAGAGAGACCAAGTCCACTGAACTAGTATGTTAATTTAGTTAAGAATGATTTCATGTTCATTCTTGTGTTGATGAAATGGGGCCCAAATTGTAAAGTAATATATCAACCTGACCAATACTACATGTTCAGTGCTACACAGTGGGATGCTCAGATAAAATACAGTTGCCATATGAAATGACATTTTAATATATTTTTACTATATTTTCTTCCTCTACAATTTGGTGTACGAGTATCAAGTTTCAGAAGTTACACCCTTTTTAGGTTGTATTCTTCAGAGTAAGGGTCTGTTCCCTTCTCCTTCTGCATTTTCTAAATCTAGTGATATCTCCTACATTTTAAAAGCCTTCTGTGCAATCCTTCTCTTCGTGACCTTCTAATTATTATTTTCCATTGTTGAATACACTTCCCTGCTGTACCTCTCCTGTCTGTAGGCTGCTTGAATACATAGAACTATAAGCAGAAAGCCACTGTCAGCTTCACAGGTCTTTCTGGATCATGGGATGCAACACACAGAACAGTGCTCACAACACAGGTCCCAACGCCCAGTCATGGGCTTCTGCACTGCCCTGCAAATGAGGAATTACCAGTGAAAATTCATTATTGTCAAGACACATTCCCAAAACTGTCACATGAAGCTCGACATCCTATATGGTGTGAAATATCCTAAGATTATCGCTTATCAGATAAATAGGAGGAAACATGACTGCTCAATGTTCAAGGCTCAAATGATACAAATAGTGTATATTCTGGTTTTGTACTGAAACCTTTCATTGCCTGGATTTGATATATGTTCATAATCCTTATAGTTTTGCTGCTTTGCATCCTGTATGCATTTTGCTTGTTTATATATAGATTTTTTCATGTGATATACATGCTTTCTTATGAAAACTACTCATCCTCTGCTGTTTTGCTTGTCAGGGAAATATTTTGCTTCCTTAATTTGACTGCTAGTATTTAGTATCTTCCAGTGTTTACTATTATGAGATCTATTTTTTCCATATATATATATATATGGCAGCAAGTATTACATGATAGTAATTACACGGTAACATTGCAAGTCTTCTACCTGTAGTCTAGCAATACTCTTGAAATAATAATCAAAATTCTATGTCTTGTAGGTTTTTTGCTTTCATTTTTATTGATTACCATTCCAAGCCCTCTGTTTCACAATTCCAGCTTGGCAACAGATGAATTCTTTGCAATTGCGAAAAAAACTTTTTTTTTCTTATGAATCGCAGATTTTGAATAGAGAGTTTTGTGGTGTTAGTTGGTGTTCTCATAAGTATGGCATTGTTACTAAATTTGGTTACCTGTACCCTTAACCTGCCTTATCTGTAAAGAAAGTGAAGAAAGGAACTAAGACTCCATTTAAAAGGATTTGAAATGTTTTCTTTTCTACGTAACTCTGAAAAAATGGTTTAAAATCATTGATTAAATCCTGCTCTGCTGGAGTGATGCAAACTTCTAATTAAATAATCATGGCATATCGATTGTGTAACACTGTATGAAGAGAGTAAAAGCAGACTTCAAAATTTTTGCTGCACGTATCTACCACTGCTTCAGCCCGGGCAAATTGGAGGGTTCTTTAAGCAAGATACCTACAGCACACATCCAATTCCTGCCTTCTCAGTGTATAAACTCTTGGCTCTAGCCAAGAAGTATCTGCACAAGTGTTCAATCCCTTCTGTTAAGATTCAAAGATTAATTTTTCCTCTAAACCCTTGTTTTAACTGTCCAAAGCTGTTCTCCTCAGATTTTGAGGTAAAAATCACAGCTTGGCCCCAACAGAATGATTGGTTGGGTATGTTTCTTAAATCAAATATTTAAAGACATTTCCTTTTTGCTTTTATTTCCAGGATCAGTCCTAAAGGCTCTTTGTTTCTAATTTCACCTAGACAAGACCCATTTCTTTTGAAACCTTTCAGGACTGCAGATACTTCCCATTCCGGCAAAAAATTAAGGGTTTTGGTTTTTATCAAAGTGGAAAAAGCCCTTGGTTTCATTGTCGGTACACAATGAATCTTGCTGGAATATACAGTTAAATACTCCCCAGTCATATGAGGCAGCTGGCTTCAGATTCTTGTCTGCCTAATTCAAACCAGAACCTTGCAGTTACCACTTTGTCATCTTAGGTGAACGCTCTTACGTCTGTATTCTGGTGTGGGTATTTCATTTGCCTCTGCCTGAAGCTGTTCTGTAGATTTAAGAGATCCAGAGAATCTTACAATCTTCAACATTTTTATTTCCCCAGCAGCAAAGTTGTATTCTGTCCTGCATCCTGTGCTGCTGTTGTAGGGACATGAGGATTCCTTTGCTTTGCAACAAGTCTCAGCTTTTGAGATACCTACTGAAAATACCGAGTTCAATTAGTTAATCATCCACAAGAAATGATGGCAGAAGGGTATTATTGTCCATAAATGTTTAGGTTCTCAAATTCTATAGCTGAGGAAATGAAACAAAGTCTAGTATTAATGTAAACATTAATATTTGTGCACTGTGAACTTCTACTGTACAAATATTTTAATTAAAATAATTAAATTTCTTTAGATATTGGTGGGATATAAATGGTAGGTGTTTCCTGGTTTGGTGAAAGAAAATTCTGACCTGTGCTTTAACCACCAGAGTAACTCTGCTCCTCAGATATGCGCTTACCTGCTAATTTACCTGTGCAGAGATGAGATACTGCTGATATGTTGGTGGATTTAAGCATTTGTCAGTGCATCCGACACACCCATTTTTGGAAAGATGCCTGTCTTCATTTTGTTCGATGTAATTATCAAGGAGCAAGTTCTCTTTGTTCCCGTTAATACTGGGCTACCTCTTACTGTGGTATATTTCTAGATTTTGTTTTAAAATATTTTCAAGTTCTGTATCTTGTAACTATAGCACTGAGCAACAAGTTGCTGACAAACTTTTTTGAAGTATGAAATGTGGGGTTTTCTTTTCTTCTTCCCTTGATGTTACCACATTCTGTTCCTCAGGATGTTTTCTCTTTCTGTGATTCCTTTTCAGCTGCTGCACATAAAGTGTGATAACGATGAACATATGTTTCAAAGACCCTCTACTTTTTACTGGTGTAACAATGAGGATTCACCTCCTTGTTTAGATATCTCTTCCATTACGCTTACTCCTAGGAGTTCTCCTGACTCTAAACTACCATCTGGATTGTTAATACCACCACCTTCAAAAAGTGGTCTTCCAAAGCCAACCAGTGAATACAGCTGCCCAAGACCTCGTGTAATCCTGCTGTGCAAAAGCTTTTTCAGTTTTTTTAGCTTTTCTTTGTTCTCTGTTGTGTATTAACTTGTATTAAAAATGTGCATTTTGTACAGTGGTTAAAGGACAGAGCAGATGTATCTTAGATTCTCTAGGGATACTCTTAAAATACAGAATTTGTGAAGATTTGCCCTTACTTCTACATAGCTTTTTCTCTCCCAACCCCAAAACATAAATTCTTATTTTCCCAACATGTTTAAATTAGTCCTTTAATTAATTACCTCTGGGTTATCTGTCAATCTTTTTGTTACAATTCTTTATATTAAGAATAGTTATTCAAAACAATTTTAAAGATCCAACTTCAAGGGCTTCCACCCCACCCCACCCATGGATTAATAGAAAAGCAATCAGCCATTAAATACTTTTTAGCATACTTTATAAAAACTCTGTGCAAAATGAAGGTTGAAAATTATTCTTAAATATGAAATGGGCATATTGCCTGCTTTTTCATAGCAATATGCTTATACATATACTTTTCTTCCATTTGCAAGTAACATTTGGCTGTATTTGGCAAACATCATGGCTTTCTGCATGTGTTCACTAAATAAAAATGCTTCTTGTGCTCATATGTATTCAAAATAGCGTTTCTTAAAATAACTAAATTATAGTTTTACTTAAAATACCTGTATCAGTAGTATCAAAATGGCCAGTAAGTTCAACAAAATGGCATATGGAAAGGAAATGACAGTGTAAAGTTTGGGTTTGCTTTTTTTGCCTAAAAGACTCATATAAGACTAAATGTAAGTACTGTTTGTTTATTTATGTAGCTTCTAGGTAGCCATAAACACTTAGCAAATAAGGAGGATCCACATTAGCATTTACTATCTCCAAGACATTCTAGGATTATCCATCAATGTTGATGGGAAATGTAGGTTGATATATGGCATATACCTATGCATTAAACCTGATTCCACCTTCCTAATGCAGACAAAAACTATCGACAAGAGAGTTTTGTTTGTATGAAGAACAGAATAGGCAGTTCATTGTATGTTTACTTTGGGTCAAGCACATCCATTGCCCTACTTTGAATGGATACAGATGACATCCAGTGATCTCCCTGACTTAAATTATACTGGTTCTCTGACTGTGCACAAAGGCTCCAGGAGGTTAATGCAAAGTCCATGAACATGGCAATAAGAGCCTGTTGTGTCTAAACACTATGCACTGAAATCTTTTTACAATAGATTATCTTTGAAATTGCTAGGCTAACTCATGTTGAGGTCAGTAAGGGTTCTGTATGTGTAAAAAAACAAAACAAAACAAAAAAACCCCAAAAAACCTTAAAAATTAGTTATTTTATGAGGTTAATTCAGCTCTGGTCTTGCCAGGGAATAACATGACTAATTTTTTTTTAAACAGAATGAAAAAAAAAAAAAACAAAACACCAAAACCCGCAGCATGTTAAATGTGTATTTATTTTCTTTTCTGCCTTTTTTTTTTCTTGGCACTTCAGTATAGTTAGGTAGAAATATCCCAGGTTTTTGGAGGTATTGAACAGTTCTAGATCTCTCTAATCCAAATTTAAAATATGAATTAAAAAATCCTAAGAAATAGGAAATATAGGACTTCGGAGTCTAGTTTTCTCTTTAAGCAGGGTATTCTGTGGAAGACCATGGATCAATATTCTTTCCATCTCAGCAGCCACTGCAGCTTCCAGAGACAAATAGATGTAGTTCAGAGCTACCTATAGACTTGGCTCACAAATCTGTGCTGTGTGCTATGAGAGGGCAGCTTCAGTTGCTGCAGCGAGGCACTAAAGAAAGTAGCATTCCAAAATAAGGTTTAGGTCCATGAAACTCTCATGGACGTGCAGTGCTGAAGATGACCCACTTGCCAGGTTGTTGTATTCATGTATTCTGAATAAAAGGATCTGTGCTTAAAAATTTTCACGTGTACATTTTGGTCAAAATGAATCTTATTTAAAAGTAGCAGGGTTTCCCTGTGCCTGGCTGTATAGTCTTCCTAATACACAGAATGTAGGTTTTTTGTCTTGTCTGAGTAATAACATTAACATGCAAACTAGTTTTGCACATATATTTTGCCTTTGGTTTGTCAATCTCAGTTTTAATTTTTTTCATCTGTCTTTAGTGTTCAGTTTATTCTGACTTGACTGTGCCTCGTTTGTGTCCTGAAGTAATGGACTGATGGCAGGAGTAATTAATTGTTAAAAAATAAATACGGCTATAGAATGATGGTAATTGTTGGATTTGGGTTTTCTTTGCTTATCCAGTAGTTTTTTGAACCCTTCCAAATTCCTGGGACTTACTAATGAAATCTCTTCTGTTACACGTTCAAGGATGAGAGTTTTATTTTGGATATTAATATTCAGTGTATTGCATGTCTAGGTTGTTACTTACCAAAAAATATATTTGAAGTTTTGATCACACCAGATTTTTTAGGTTGTCACATAAGTTATCATGTAAGGAAGAATTAGTAAACAAGAAATATTGTCATTGTGTCTTTTAATTTTAGCTACTTGTTCTGTGCACTCTGGAGCGTAACGTATTGTTGTTGTAGTATTACCTTAAACGGGTCTTCTGAACATATCTGTGTTCATCTGCCTGCAATAGAGAACTGCTTGTCACCAGCTTATTCAGGTTTAACTGTGATACATTTCTGGCTGTACCAGATGGACTGAAAATGGAAAAATTACAATGCTGCTTTTATATTGGAGAGTTTTAGCATGTCTCAGACTCTGAACTGCAAATGCCATTTGCTTGGTGTTAGGAGCTGTTTTTTGCATGCTGATGGTTATTTTTAACTTTTTTGAAAATGTGGCTCTTATCTGCATGCTGAAGAATTCAGTGTTGTGACCTTTCATGTGGAATATTGCCCTAATATTTATTGTCCTTATTGTAGGCAGGCAGTGTGACACCTAAATCACCCTCCACTGACATCTTTGATATGGTTCCCTTTTCTCCCATATCCCCTCAGTCATCAACACCTACTCGCAATGGTACACAGCCTCCTCCAGTACCCAGTAGATCTACAGAGATCAGTAAGTTTTGTAACAACTGACCTAATTTTTGCTTACATTATTTTTTTTTTAATGAAGCATCTTTAAAGATTTACGTACATTTTGCATGAAAAGCCAAATACGGGTTTTGTAAATCGCATTCGGTAATGGCATTTCATTTTTATACCATCTTCCCTAAGTCATCGATGTTGCTGCCAACTTACATTATAAGCAAATTTATTTACTTGCTGAAGCTATTATATAAACAGTTTGAAGGAGTTTGCTTGGGGATTTTAACTTGGCTTTTCTTTTACAGTATCTCCTTTGTACTTAGTTCAAGAAATATTTTTACTTCCTGTTAGTTCTTTCCTTGTCAAGCCACAGTTGTAGCATCTAAAGCCTCCATTTCTGGGGAAGACAGCAGGTGGAGTAAGTATGGTGATGATGATGCAGAAGAGAGAGATGAAGGAATCCCTCAAGATGTAGACTGTCTTGGAATACTATTTTTTAATACTACTTTTCATATCATCTACAGCTTTGTTTTTCAGTTATATTTGATGAACCCGTCCAGATCTGTGTACCACTCCTAAAAGATATTCAAAAGATTATTAACAATAGCAATTTTATTTTCCAAAGGCTTGAAAGCAGCTAGGGTAAGGTTCTTGTCTTCACTGGAAATCTTTTAGCAGTCCACAAACTATCTTTAAAAGCTTTGGAAATCCGTTGGGGGAGAGGAGAGCGGAGCATACACAAGCAATGTTAGAGGTTGTAGAAATAGTGGTCTGCGTGTATCTTCTATTTCTGATGCCTATTTTAGTATGGATAAGGAACAGTAATGTTACTGCCTGCCACCTTATAAAACCACATTTGAAGAGTTTCTGTCTGTTTTGCAGAATGCTGCTAGTATGTAGAATTTTCAGGTATGAGTGAGAGTGCTGCACAATTATAAAAATGCATTGTACAACTTAAGTCAGTGCAAGTCTTCCTCAATACCATATCCTATGCACCTTTTGTTTCCATTGCTCAGAATTACCGTCACCCTCTAAAGAGACAAAGTAGATGTCAAGGCTATTGATTCAATTTAAAAAATCTGTTCTTTTTTAAGAGAAGACTTTAAATTAATTTAGGTTAATTTATATGGGTTTCTCAAAGGGTATATTAACAGAATTTAAAATATTCTATTAAGAATAGTTCATATTAACTATTCTTAAATAACTTAAAAGAATATTAGAATATTCTAATAGAATATTAGAACTGTTTATTAAGAGAATTTTTATGGCTTTGTAAAGAACAACAAAAAAATAATTCAAAGACACCGCCTCCAAGAACTCCTTTTGTGTTTTCAAATGTGTTCCTCTGAAACTACAGACAATGCCATAAAATCATTTTCAGTATGCATATCCAGCTTCAAAAATAATAACTTGAATTGAATTACAGGACAAGATTTTTTTTTTTTTTTAAGTGGTCGTCCTACCTCAGTTTCATGGAAATTTTGGCTAGAAATCTTGTTGGAGTCAGTGCTGAGTGGTCTTGAGAATTCCAGCTATGTAGTTTTGTACTTGTTTAATCAGTGGGTTTTGTAATGTAGAAAATACTATAAATAAGTTGCTTATTCACTGATATGACTGTTTAAAATAGTTGTTTCTTCTGCGCTTCAATAATTTGCATTAAATTAAGATTATGTAGTTCAGAGACATGGCAGTCAGTGTCTGTTAATTTTCTGTGCTCCTCAGTGTGCCGTGCTTCAGAGAGAGATTACAGAAGGACATCATAGTCTTTATACTTTGATCCCTGCTCTTTCAGTCTACATCATAGTATTTTATATGTTGAAAATTGTTGCATTCATCAGCTATTAAGACCCTTTGGCATATTTGAAAAATGCAATTTGAAACTGAAGACGAATATTTTATAATCAAACAAGGACTTACTGTCTTAGATGAGAAAGTTCAGCTCCCATAACAATCTCATTCAAGCTGTGTAATGTTACATTCCTATAATACTGTACAATAATACATTGTTTTATATGGTGTTATTGCTGCTGGTACAAGCAAGCTGGCATTACTTTCTCCAATACAAGTCAGATAGGTGGCAACCAAGAGGAACCAATGTTTGGAGTCTCCCATTTTCTGAGGTCTTCTGAACATCTTTTCATGTTCTTATCTCTACTTTGTCACTGCACATGACCATTTTTTTCCATCACGTTTGATGAATTTATGGGGTGATTTTCTTGGATTTTATCATTTTTATAATTTTTATCACATTCAGTAGTAAACAAGGTGAAAGATTAGGATGTACCATCTATTTGCTAGTGTCAACCTCAGTTGCTCCATTCATGTAAGTGAGGTTCATCTGCCTGTTACCTAGGGATGGCACTTGGTTTGCTCAAGCAAAATGAGCTTTTCAAAGCCAGTGTTCATCTTACTCACCAACTGGTCAGTTTGACAAATCACCCAAGAATAACATTGCACAAGAAAGACAGGTCCTATTTGTAGGAAACTGGTAACAATACCAAGTACTTTGGATTCCTCCAAGACCAAAAGCTTCATAGCTGATAATTGGCATCAGGATGCCAGTTCAGCTTTTCATAAAGAGAAATGCCTAGAGTTAGAGTTTTGCTTGCCAGGTCTCCTTTGGGTAGTTCGCCCAGCAAAAACTGAGGGTTTATAAATTACATCTTTTGCTTTGACTAGCTCACAGTACGTAGTTCAAGACCCCTGGCATTCTAATACTGGAAGAGTGCAACACTGACCTTTTTTCTGAAAGGCAGTTATCTCCAAAGCACTTAAGCTTTAAAAAAAGGAGAAGTTTCTTGAAATTTTGAGTTCTTATTCGGCACTATACCAATATGGCTTCTCAGTAAATGTCTGCTCACTACTGCGTATATCAGTGATAGCAAATAGATTGTTTTTTTCTATTTTAAAGGAGAAAATTGCATGATTTTTGGACAGGAAGTTTCAGATTGGACAAATATGTGGTGTCTCTTTAGGTAAGAATTGCAAAAAAGTGATTCTTTCAAAAACAAAAGCCCTTTCCAGAATTGTATTTCTACTCAAAATGTTTCTGAGAAATACTTCTTTTAACACGAAGTTTGCAGTAAACAACTTGCAGGCTAAACATAAACATTGCAGCCAGGTATAGTAATTGCTTAATTGAACAGTTGACCAATCTGTAGTTAGTGCAACCAAAAATGCAATGTTAAAGACCATGCTGCTGCTTCCTCAGGGAGTAAGGGATTGCAAATGTTCTTCTAAGTTATCTTAAAGGACAGAATTAATTTATTAGTTTTAATTAATTAAAGGAGGAGTTAATTTATGTGGTTCTTGTTGGCACAGCATTATTGTCATATCTGAGAAAAGGCCTGGAGAGGAGCATTCTCTGTCGAATGGTTCAACATTTATTTCACTCAAATGCATCTTGTACAATCCAAGGTCACAACTGGCAGATGTAGAAATCTGCTCCAAGATGCTATCTTTCCAGAGACATTGAAGAGTCTGTTGTCAGAATAATTGTGGGACCAATTTTTATGCTGTAATAATTCCAAAAGAAAAAAATATGGAGTAGCCTGCAGCTAAAGGAAAGGCTTCCTGGACTTCACTACGTCAGCTTATTCCAAATATTTTCTTGGGTGCTTGTCTTAAGTGTGATTAATTTTTATTTGTCATCACAGCTGCTCCAGGACATCTGGGGAAAGCATATATCAGCATAAGTCTGTGCCTGGATGATAGCTAAGGTAAAGAAGATTGGGATGCAAAATGCAGCAGAAAAGCCAAATATTTGTAGTTTTGTTTGGTAATTGCTAGTTTTCAGGTTATTACAGAGTGCAGGTTGCTACTCTCCAGTGTTACGTGTTTCTTGTCCTGATAGGTCACAGAAGCAAGAATTTATTACCTGTTCATGTCTTGTGTGGTTTGAGTTCCAGATATAAAACATCAGCATTTCATGGTTTTGAATTTGTTGGTCGATTTCTCAAGCTGTGAATTTATTTCCATCCAGAAATTAATGGGAAGGGGAAAGGAAATTATATGTGCTGTTTGAAAGGATCGTTTTCAAAGGCTTACTCGTTGCTATGTATTGGAGAAAGAAATGCCTGTCTGTGCTACAGTTGTTTTGGGGAGTATGCCAGGCAAGATATTCTTGTTATAGTTAATCTTCATGCAAATACTCTAGCCTGAAATGAAAAATTGCTGATTTATCCCATCTCTGCTAAAAAGGAGCACCTCTGTGAACAGTGGAGTGAACACTAGCAGATAAGCTTATGGAGATTCCATGCAATAGTGTAGCTCTGCACAGTGATTAAATTTTAGTATTTGTCTAGTTCCCACATGTTCTTCAGCTTCTGTTCAAAAGAGAAATACTGATGATGCTATTGAAAATATTTCATGGAACTTTATCCCTCCCTGACTCTTAGCAGTGCAATCTCAAATAACACACAGACTTTAAATGCAGAAAAACAGTTGTACTATGGACTTTTTCAGCCAGTTTACTGAAATGGTTAGCAAGTTATAATAGAGAGAGTTCCCAAAATAATAATTTTTCATAGAAACTCAGCTAGGAAATACTTCTCTATTTTGAATTTAATTCTGTACAGGGTTTATTAGGCTCTGTCACTTAGAGTAAGTTACACAGGTTAATTTTATAGTCTGCCTTGAATAACAATGTAAATGAAATAATCCTTCACCTGAAGGCAGGTGACATTAAAGGAGCTAAAGCTTCTGCCATTCTCCTGCTAGTGAGCTCACAAGTGCTGTCATTAATAAAAGCCCAATAATAAGGCATGAATGAGATAGTATCCATAACAGTGTACAGAATACTTGCTGTCAAAAATAGTGGTAGGTCATATTTCAGTACTGAGAAATGCAAGAGTTGTGCTCTTTACTGTTTTTTCCTAGATACATTCCTTGAATGTTTGCTAAGGCTTGGTGTTGAAACTGGCTGCTTTTAGCTGTCTGATCACACAGAAAACTGTCAGTTCCTTTTAAGGGTAAAGAGAGAACCTGGGGAAGCGGGGGAGAAAGAAAATGGACCTACATAATGAACAAATAGGCTTATGAGGAGCATATAAAGCATAATCACTTTCTGCCCAGTAGAGGTTAGATTGAAAGTCGGAGCTGCTACACATCTGAAAGTTACTTGGTAGGAGCTTCGGAGCACATAAGGACACTGATTATACTGGAGCAGACCCATTTTGGCTGTGAAAGAGGCAAGGGATAAGGTAGATCCTAATTCTTACATTAGATTATCCTAGTTAAAGTCTCTTTTGCATGTAGATGGTCTGCCTCTGCCAGGACAGACTAGATTATTTTTTTTTTTTGTTGGCTCAAGTGGGCTTTTGGAATAAGGCTTTCTGATCTGGGCCGTTTCCTGGTCCCATGTGACAGTTTATAGCTTTTTAGCCACAGTTTTTGTAATATGTAATTAATCAAGTTCCTTCGTGTTTCTGTACTTTATTATGGGAATGAATGCTGGTAGCTGCTAATTATTTAAAATACCTATTGTGCAGCTTGATAACACCTAAATGATTAGGTCAAAACCCATGGAGACTGACACACAATAAAATGTTGAAGAGCCTAGACAAGTACAGGTCTAAAACTCTGACTCCAAGGAGGACAAAATAAAGACATTTATTTAGCTATATGCACGATCTTCAGCACTGATGAGTGGCAACACTGCAACATGGATTTTGTGTCTAGTCAGTTGTCAGCTTCCATGTCTTGCATGTTGAGGGTAAAATTTTGTGCTTACCCAGAAAACTGTCTAGTAATTTCGAAGACACTAATGGCCCCTTTTACTCTCATGCTCTTAATCTAACATTGTTTTAAGGTAGGTAGTATGCTTACCAGGTTTCTTGCTGGGTGACCATGAAAGTTAGGAGATAGGATATGGTTTTAATTTTCTCTCCACCAGTAACAAGACTGTATTAACTTGGTTCTGTAAATTTTGCAATCAGTGGGGTTGGGTTGGGTTAGCAAAATTATTTTCTTACTGGTTTAGTTCAACCCAATGTGCGATAGAAAAAGTCAGTATAGATGGCACCATTACATGTAGAGAGAAAAAAAATCTTATTACTGAGAAGAAAGAAAGAAAAAAAAAGGCTAGATACCCTCAACCCAAAATATTTGGGATGTAAGATGTGAAGAACTAGCATTACACTGTTCTAGTAAGAAAAAATAAAAATGTATTGGAGGTGTTTCTTCTTGTCCAGACAAAAAAGAAGCAAACTCTATTAAATGTAGGCCTTACCTTCCATCAGTAAGGGCAGTTGTTTAAAGATGTCCTTAACCACCAGATGGTAAGAAATGGCAGATGGGGGTCATGAAGGCTAGGTTGTTTACAAGAATATGTTTCTGACATAATGTTAAGATGAAATTTGACAACTGAAGTCCAGTTGTTCCCTCCTCATTTGTGAAACACCTATACACACCGATGCCAGAGCGCATTTCAGTAGAAGATGCCCTGTTCAAATTGGAACTTTTCGTCGATCCCTAAAATTCCTTGAGAAGGCACAAGCATTAATGAAAGCTAAGTATAGGCTTAAACAGAAGTTGATGGTGTTCTTGGAATAATACTTGAGTTTTAAACTTTGGAAAACTAATCAAGACGTGGCTTTCAAGTTTGGATGTTAAAAGCTGTGGTTAATAAGTTGCATATCTGGAGGTGCTATTATTCAGTTTGTAAGGAGATGCAAGCTGAGTTTTTCAGAGAGCTGTTGCTGTAGCCCATACATTTTCTCTCAGTGACTCACTTTTCTGTTGTTCCAGAGAGAGACCTTTTTGGAGCAGAACCTTTTGACCCTTTTAGCTGCGGAGCAGGAGATTTCCCTCCAGACATTCAGTCCAAACTAGATGAGATGCAGGTAACTACTGGGTTATCAATTATGCAGTTTTCTATGGCTGGATGAATGTTCTTGAAATACATATCTACAGTATTCTGAAAATGTATTCCAGACTGCACACACAAATATATAGAAAAAAACCCTACCTATTTCTGACTATTCTTTCTGTAGTATATCTCATGGTCTTTGAGTTGGAGTTTGAATTTGCTTGCGTGAAGATCCCTACAGATGTTAGCCCATGGTGTTAATATGGACACCTGCACTGATTTAGGGTTTATCAGCAAAGTAATCAAAATGGATGCTGCTACTCTTGCTTGGGAAGGGACTGAGTGAGCTAAAAAAGAGAGCTGAGGCGAGAGCCCTGCGGATACACTGATGCTGTTACTCTTCAGTTCCAGCAATCACCACCACCCTGCTATACCCTGATCTTTCCCTCAGTGGCATTAGTGTGGTTTTCCATGGCGTTGGCATCGGCAAAGTACATGCTTAAGGGGCCATGGTAATTTTCTGCTGCCTTTAAAAATGGCTGTATTTGACTATGGCACTCTGGGACAATTAAACTATTGAGAATTGATTCAAGAATTCTGAACTGATGTGTTTCAACCAACAAACATCATAAAATGTTTGTTGATTCTGAAACACTCAACAGTATTTGTTCAGTTATTGACACGATTTTGAAGCAATTCTACAGAAAGCCTTCAGGTTTTGGAATAAATCACTCTCTTCAGTCAGACTTTCCAAACTGCTAGTTCCTTGCCAGGTTGTTTATCTGGGTTTTTTTTTCAGCAGTCTGCCAGCAAAACAGAAGGCTGAAAATACTGGGAACTTGAATTTCTAGGATCCTGGCTTCTCAGCAGAAAGTGTTCCCAGGGCTTCCAGCCCTCTTGTATCTCAAGAGCCCACAAAGTCCAAGAGAGCTAGCTTTCAGGCTCCTCCAGTTCTTCTTTTCTGCCTGGAGAGCAGCAGAAACGTGTCAAAATGGCTGAAATAAGATCTAAATACTGTTTAATTTACCTAAGTACAATTTTTGAATTGCTGTTCATTGTGAAATTTCATTTTCCATGTCAGTTTAGGATGGTGCCACTGGCAAACTCCACTCACTGTGAAGTAAGAAATTTAGATTCTTGCTCACCTATGCTCCAGCCCATATAATTTCAGATAGCAGCTAAAAGCCAAAACTGGCTTCTTTGTAATTTCAGTAAAAATGCTTGTGTTTTGTTAATGCTGTAATGTTATTACAGAGCCCTTCAGCACAAAAACCCCAAATTTTTTAGCGCCTCACATTGATACATATCAATGTTTCCATTGTGTATAGCCCATTTTAGGAAAAAATATACTGTAGTATCTGTGGATACTAGCAAGAATCCTGTGACTGTAGCTGAACATCACACACTAAGAGTTCTTATTACAGGTAATACTTTGGCAAAATTTTATATTGTCAGCACGTAATGCTGCAAAGTGTTACCATCTCACAAAACATCAGTGAATGGAACAGTAGAAATCTTTATCAAAGATTTTTGAAGTCATAAAATGAAAAACTCATATCATTGGTTGTACTCTCTTGACCTAGAAAAGCAGACAACCAGCCAGTAATAAAACCCCCAAACCTTAGGTTGTTACTGTGTCCTATTGCAAAGAATACTGTATTGGTCACGTATTCCTGCCGCACATACATATTTTACTTTTTCTGACTTTTTAATTGCTTTATAAACTAGTCGCACAATTAGAGAGACTAGCATACCAGTCTTAGCATGCCCTGACACTTTACTGAAAAATTGTGGGTCTTTATGTAGGCACAAAACTTATTCATGTATAATCCAGCTGAGAAACAGTGTAAAGCTGACAGGTTATGAAAAAAAATTTCTGACCTTGGCCAAAGAAAAAGGTATATGCAGTTATTTTACTAGGTGGTTGGTTCAAAATACAGATTGAAACATGTTTTTTCTAATATCTCTTTTATCTTCTTGTGCTTTCCTGGGTGCCTAGCGTCAGCGATGGTTGGTATATCATAATTTAATAATGGTATTTAAAGCATTTGCAATTGAAGTGTGCATGTGTTCATGTCTGGTGTTTTTATTTTTATGCATATGTGTGTACATAAATATAAATATAAAAACTTTTAAGATTTATATTTTATATATACAACTCTGTAAGTCAGGGCCATTTTAATTTTTAGGGGCCTACAATTTTTAAGGTAGGGACAGCTGATTTTAGTTTTCTTTAGTCTGTCTTATCAGCTGCTAATAGCCTTCATTTTCATTGCTGTTTGTTTTCCATGTGTACTAGTGAAATCTCCAGTTTTCATCAGATTGTCATTAGTGAAATGGTTTAAGCAAACCTTTGATACACAGATTTTTGTGTTAGTACAATCACATTTGTGAATGTGTTTTTAATTGGAACTAATTAATTAAAAACTTGCAATGAGCAAAAGATAGCTGTGCTAGAAGTCAGCAGTTGTTAGATACACAGCCTGTAAGAAGGAAGGTGAAATGGACTGACAAAAAGTAAAACCACAGAACATGTAATGTCCTCTAGGAAATCTAACATTAAGAAACAGGAAAGAAAAATGTAGGTTTCTTTCCTTCTCTGGAATACAAAGTGAAGGAATCTGTTTTCTTCACATTATGATAGTACAGCTGGAGTTTCAGTAAGTATGTATTCCATTTAATATACAAAGGTAGGTTGTTTATGGACACATCTGACAGTTCACAATATAAACTTATTCTGAGTTTATGCAGTTTACCCTACAGTCAGAGTGGCAAGCAAGCTGCCTCGGCACGAGGCAGTGACTGCCTGGCTGGAGCAGCCTCAGTCCACACGCTTTTATCCTATTTCTCATGTAGAGCTATGTCAGATGCATCAGCAAACATGCCCCAGTCTGCAGAAAAGCTGGCTTGGCATATGCGTGCGTTGGAAGGTGATGTGTAAGCAAAGTGGGAGAGGACAGCACAGCAGAAGAGGTGTTGGAGAATAAATTCTTAAGTAGTGGGTGCTTTTCCTTTGCATCGGATATTCTGTACTTAATGAGATCAGATAAAGTTCCCTGACCTCTGGGGAACACTTTTGTTTAAACTTTAGTGAGGATCCAAATTTCACACTTAAGCTCTTTCTATTCCATTTCTCAGTCCAATCTCTGCTGATCTTTTTGGAGAACTCAAAACTCAAACATGTGCCAAGATGTGCCTTTTACAGCTCTGGCCTCTCTCTGATGACTATCCAACCTCCTGTTTCCCCCCACCCTTATGCTGAAACATATTTTCACCCTCTCTATTTTGACTGTATCCAGACATTAATAAAATGAATCTGTCTCTTTTCCCAGAAATCTTGCAGTGAGGGGAAGTTTCCCTAGATCATGAATCATACCAGCAACAGCTGCTATAATATATTAAAATCTCAAGGTAGTTAATATCATAAAGCTTCCAGGAGCTGCAAGCCATTCTCCCTGCATGGCCTGAAGCAGTCAGTAGGCTTGACATCTTTCCATCTGAAATAAGTTATGCTCAGCCCTCTAAATTATCTTCAGAGACGTGTAAATTTGTCATTGGTTCATGGGGTCTGTGCTGACTTAAGCTCATTGAGTGAAGTCACTGTGAAATGATAAGTGACTTAACCTCGGAGCCATAAGGTTGACTTCGGCAAATTGATCTTCTGATAAAATGGAAGTTCTTTGTCTCTTACTGTTCGCTGTTTTGAACTGGAATAGCTCATGTCTTTATATCATAGACACAAAAAAGTGGGAGTTTTGGAAGAGGGGTTGTTTTCAGGTTGCTTTTTTCTAGTGAAAATAAGCTTTGCTGCTTTCTTTAAGAGACCAATCATATATGTTAGTACAATACCATCATTTTCCTGGGTAACTAAGATGTTCAGTCCTTGAGTTAAGTCACCTTGGAAGTAAGAAAGTTATGTGACACTGTCGTCATAGGGTTACGAACACAGAAGCAAGGCACAATACAGATGCACACATTATATCCCTTCCTGTTCCCACTCCTGTCCAGTATCAGAGGATGGCCTTTTTCTGCATTCCCTGAAAATCAGCAGATTTGAGAGATTTTCTGACCAAATGAGGAGTTATTGTTTCCTGAACCTTTAAAATACAGGAAGTCATGGCACACATTTTTTAATGACCAGGCAGTGTGTTATGCTGAGAGCACATGTTATTAGAAGCTGAAATGTTTGAATTTCACAAGGCAAAGTATTTTAAATGCTGTGTATTAAAATTAATGATGCTTTTTTTAATCTATGTTATGTAATGTGTACCAAGTGTTGGTTATATATGTCATTTTTAAAGAAAAAATATTCTGCCTAACACATTAATCGAGTTTATTAGAAAAAGATAAAAAGAAATCATAATTTATAATCTGCTCAGTCATTCCAGCTGACATCATTATTATTGCAGCTGTGAATGCAGGGTTTTGGAGTGGAGAGTTGAGAGGAGGCGTATGCTGTATGGTGAATATTATAATGGTCATACAGCAGCTTCAAGTAGGAGCCATAAGACTTGAGAGACGTATGCAGTTCGGACATATGTATGAACTGCATTCCTGAAAGCGGACATAAAGCTGTAACTGTTCTGCATTGTTGTGAGAACTACAGGATAGGATACTTACTCTGTTTTCTGCATTAATCAGTTCAACAGGAGAGTCTTTTCTTGAAAACTTGTCTTTCTGCAGCTTGGTTGACTACAGTTGATTGGAATTTTTTTTTAATATCATACATTTACCAAAGTATAGTTTTGGACACTCTAAAAATTGTTTAAGAATTGGGAGTTAATTTGCAAAACTTGTGGGATTAGGAATGGAGATGGCTGTGGGAGATCTGAAGTCTGTGCTTTCCTGATCCTTAGGAATTTGATTGCAATCACTTTGCCAAAGAATCTGCTGGACTAGGATGTTCTGATTCCTGCCCCTTCCCCCCCGCCCCTTTTTTTTTTCTTTTTTTTCTTTTTTTTCTTTTTTTTCTTTT